AGACCTAACTAAGATAGCCAACAAAGAGCTTGTGAGAGGAGTACCTAAACTGGGTAAGAATATGAACCATGTGTGTGGACCATGTCAACTTGGGAAGCAAACCCATGCCCCTCATAAAACGGTGAACATCTTTACAACCAAACGTCCTCTTTAATTGGTTCATATGGATCTTATGGGACCCACTCGCACTGAAAGTATTGCAGGTAAAAGATACATTTTTTTAACTGTTGATAATTTTACTTATTTTTCATGGGTAAATTTTTTAAGAGAAAAATTTGATATGCTTGATGCTTTCCAGGCCTTAGTCCTTAAAATCCAAAATGAACAGGGTGTTTCTATTGGGCGTATCATAAGAATCCGAACTGATCATGGTTGTGAGTTTGAAAATAGTTCATTTTCGGATTTTTGTGATATGCATGGAATTGAGCATGAATTTTCTGCACCTATTACTCCACAACAAAATGGAGTTGTTGAGAGGAAGAACAAAGTTGTTCAAGAGATGGCTAGGGTCATGCTCCTTAGTAAGAAAGTTCCTCCAAAGTTTTGGGCTGAAGCCCTAAATACTGCTGTTTATGTCATAAATCGTGTATATTTAAGGCCCGACACTTTACAAACTCCATATGCATTGTGGAAGGGATTGAAACCTAATGTAAAATACTTCAAAACTTTTGGGAGTTAATGTTACATTTTCAAAGATAAAGAGCTTTTAGGAAAATTTCACTCCCGAAGTGATGAAGGTATTTTTCTAGGGTATTCAACCACTAGTAGAGCTTTTCGTGTTTATAACCTACAAACTTCATCTTTAATGGAATCGATTAATGTGGATATAGTTGACACAGGTTCTCCTACTTCAGCGATAAATGAGGAAGAAAACGGTGAGTCTCTAATGTGTACTTGAAAGAAGAGGTTATGTTGAGCAACCAAAATGGTTTGAGGACCCTAAATGTCCAAACCATGTCTACAAGTTAGACAAGGCTTTGTATGGGTTGAAACAAGCCCCTCAGGCTTGGTATGATAGACTTACTGTCTTTCTACTTGATAATGATTTTCAAAGGGGTAGTGTAGACAAGACTTTTTTTGTGAAACATACTAAGTCTCATATACTAGTTGCTCAGATTTATGTTGATGATATTGTGTTTGGATCCACTGCTAATTATCTTGTTAAATACTTTTTGGATTGCATGACACATGAGTTTGAGATGAGCATGATGGGAGACTTGTCTTATTTCTTAGGTCTTCAAATTAAATAGTCCCCTTCGGGCATGTTTGTTTCTTAGACTAAATATGCCAAAAACCTTGTGTCAAAGTTCGGTCTTGAGTCATCCAAACATGCACACACTTCCATGAGCACCAGTCTTCACCTTTCCAAAAATTCCTTTGGTATTGATGTTGATCATATCCTTTATAGGAGTATGATAGGGAGTCTCTTTTGCCTCGCAGCCATTCGTCCTGATATTGCATTTAGTGTAGGCGTTTGTGCCCATTACCAAGCCTGTCCTAAAGAGTCTCATCTGATTGCTGTCAAATGCATCATCAAGTATGTGAATGAGACATTGGGTTATGGGATTTGGTTCTCGACCAACATTACAACTAAAATCACTGGTTTTTCTGATGCCGACTGGGTAGGGTGTGCTGATGATCGTAAGAGCACATCTGGGGGGTGTTTTTACCTTGGGAATAATTTGGTTTCTTGGCATAGCAAAAAACAAAATGCCATTTCTCTTTCGACCGCTGAGGCTAAGTACATTGCTGCAGGGAGCTGTTGTGCATAAATGCTGTGGATGAAGCAAATGCTTCATGATTATGGAATAGACCAGAATACTCTTACTCTTTTCTGTGATAACACAAGTGCCATTAATATGTCTAAAAATCCTATCGAACACTCTCGCACCAAACACATTGACATTCGTCTTCATTTTACTTGAGAGTTAGTGGAAGAAGGCCTTGTTGTTCTTGAACATGTACCCATTAAGCATCAAAAAGCTGATATTTTTACAAAACTCCTTGATCTTCTTAGGTTTGAGTTCCTAAGAAAGACCTTGGGTGTTGTGCTCAGTTACTAGAGTGTTACCTATTACTTGAGTTGGTGTGAGTGATTGTTTTTATGTGTACTTGGATGCTATTATCTCATTTTCATTGATTCCTGTCATCCCTGCATTTAGACTTATATGAACACCACTTATGTTGCTTGCAAGATTTCATTCTTCTTTGTTCATAGCTCATTCTGAATGCCCATGCTCATTGACTTCATGATCTCATTCTGTACACATTCTTGAGATAAAATGTTGCAGGGGTTTCCGCACAAGTGATCAAAGTTCTCTATGGACCACTAACAGTGTATCTTTTACATTATTGGAGGAATTGACCTATACTAGCATATCATGGGTGATGTTGAGTCTGTTAACCATCTATCATCGTTTTTTCACTTTTACGGTTCCTCCCTCAGTTCATTGAAGTCCGGGCATTAGGAAAAGGCTACCTCAGAGGCACCAACGCAGGCCATCCTTTATGATTTCATGCTTCTCTGGGTTGGTCTCCATGCTCTTGAGCGTGCAAGCCACCAGTGAGTGCCCACAGAAAAGAAAAGTCACAAAAGAAAAAAAAAAAAAAAAGGGACTCATTGATTGAGGGGGAGCCTCCGGTTTACTCAACAAATACCTCTTGATTCATAGTGGTTTGACTTTTCTCTGTGATGTTTAGTTATTCTTGCTGGAGGTCCAACCATCCGATCACTACGAAGATTAACTCTAGCTCATGTGGCCTCTTGAGGATTGCACGCACACACATTCATTATGTGAGTTCTCATGTTTGTTTTTTGAGTTGTGCATTTTCATGTAGCTTATGATTAGTGATTAATTTTTATCTGAGTTGCTCATGATTTTGTGCTTCATAATGTCAGCTTTGCAAGTTTGCAGGTTTCATGGTTTGTGGATTATTCCATCTGAGTGTCATATTCTTGCTATTATGCTCACCTTTGTTTTTGTTTCAAGTCACACTTCCCAGTGCGAGTTGGTTTTATTTGTTCAAAGGTGTTTTGGTCATTGATTTTTTGTCCCTGCTCAAGCGGAAACTTTCACACTCGAGCATAGATTTCCTTTTTCCAGCATTTTTGCAGGCATAACAAACTTTTGAGTGTGTGTTTTTGGGGCTCAAGCGCATGATTTCTTGCTCAAGTGTAGCTACGCGTGTTCAAGCTCACACTCGAGCGTTCACACCATCGCTCGAGCGGACTAGTTCGTTTTGAAAACCCAACCCTTGACTCTTCAGTCCATTTTTTCCCCAACTTTCATCTCTCTATCTCTCCTAGGGTTCCTTTGGTGACTCTGTCTTTCATCCCTCCTTGGGTTGTTGATTGGTGTGCGCCTTTCAGTTCTTTGTTTCTTGTACTCCTTGGTCGTCTCAGGTATGATTCTCTCATCTTTTGTCAATTTCTTTTCTTTATTTGTTTTTGGTTGTTTTTTGTTCCTTCTCACCTTCATCATATATACTCGTTAGTGTTGTTCTAGTTTGTGTGTTTTTGGGAATATCATAATACTGCTTTAGTTATGTGTGCCTTGATTACTTATGTTTATGGTTTGTTGGTTTGGGTATTTTTGGTTGCAATGTGAGTATCTTTTACCATTCTCTTGAACCTGTGGTTTTGTGCTCTCATGAGTTATGGGATATTGAGTTGTGTAGTCGGTATGATCACTGCCTGCTGTTCTAGTGTGTTTTTCATTATAATTATTTGGCTATTTGCTTATGGTCACTATGTTCCCACTAGCTGTTTTATTCTGCATTTTGATATATTGTGTTCTCATTGAGGGTTGATCATATTGATTTTCATATTGCTCTTGGCTATTTAATTCTGGCATATTTGGACTTTGCTACTAATGGTTTGTTTTGTGTTTTTGGTTTTGATTCTTGTCTTGGCTTAGGGGTTTTGTAGCTGCCTCTTTTGGGTAATCCTTGGTTCAGCCATGTCCACTTCTAAACGTAAAAAGTCAACTGTCACTCGCCCCTCTTTTAATACCGACTGGTTTCCCTCAGTAGAAAAAGCCAAGTTGTTTAAAGAGTCCTACCCTTCTAGGATAGTTCATTTAGAGTGGAACATACAGCCAAACATTTTTGAGTCCATCCACATTCGCCCTCCGTTTGATCCTTTATGGGGAGATTTGGTCATTTCTTTCTCTGGTCGTCAAAATCTTGATTGGGTAAGGGAATTTTACTATAATATTGAGTTGATTGACAATGTTGGCCCCTCTTTCAAGACCTGGGTTAGGTCTAAGTCTATCACTATTACACCTGATCTTATTCGTGAGCTTTTGGGTATTGGTCAAGTCTTTCCTTGTTTTTATCTTTTCCTAATTTGACCCACCTATCATTTCAACAAGGTGGCCACTACTTTGTGTGGTACGTCTCGTTCGTGGATCCAGGGCTCTTTGATCAAACAAAATGAGCTACTACCCCAGTTCCGTTTACTCAATCTCATTGTTTGTGCAAACATCATAGTGACCACTCACATCTCCGAAATAAATCAGGAACAAGGTTTTGTCCTTTATTACATTACTCACCATCGATCTATTGACCTTGCCACCCTGATCATTCAAAAAATGGTCGCTGCCTTTAAGCGTAACAACCTAGGTCTTCCCTATGGTTGTCTTATTAACCATTTGCTCACCAAATTAGAGGTTCCTGCTTTTGATGAGGACGACTTTGCTTTTCCTACCCGGCCTTTTACCAAAAAGACTGTCTCTTAGAGTCAGTCTCATATCAGGGGGGTTTTTTCTGGAGTGGGTAGTTCTGGTGCAGGTGTAGGGGATAAGACTGTCTCTTAGAGTCAGTCTCATATCAGGGGGGTTTTTTCTGGAGTGGGTAGTTCTGGTGCAGGTGTAGGGGATGCTGCTGTGGCCGAGGAGGCCGCGTATGACGCTGCTGCTGCAAGTGAGGCTGCCGATGAGGGGGAGTAGCTTCCTTCGGCTTGTACTATCTGAGGCTAGCTGCGTTAGTTCCAGCAGTCCATGGTTTCACATTTTGATCGCTTGGAGGGTCGGATGGATATCTTCGAGGCCCGGCTTACTGATCTTGAGACTGTTGCTGATGCTCGACTCACTACATTGGAGGCCTCTTCTAGGCGCATTGAGCAGTCAATCGCTCAGTCCTCTTCTCATCTTTCCCAGATCTTGTTTCTCCTCCAGATGCAGCCACCTCCACAGGCACCTAAACTCAACCAACCTGTAACAAACCTGCCCAACACATCCCATAACTCAAATACTAAGTAAAAGGATGTAAACAAGATAATAAACAACTACCAACATCCACGGACACATGTCCGGATCACTGTACAACAAGGGTAAACCCGGGATCGCTATAGTCCTCTTCTCATCTTTCCCAGATCTTGTTTCTCCTCTAGATGCAGCCACCTCCACAGGCACCAGCTCCGTGATATTTGTTTACTTGGCTAGTATATTCTTTGCACAATTTTTTTTCTTATTTTCTGTTTCTTTTTCTCTTGTGTTTTCCTCCCAGACAAAAAGGGGGAGTAGATTCATTCATTGCTGAGCATATGTTTTTTTGGCTTTGTTGGGTTTTGGGCATGGATATTTTTGATGCATGGATATTGGGATACTTTTGACGCATGGATATTTTTGATGCACGGATATTGGGATACTTTTGACACTTGTTTAAATATATATTTGACATTTGTTTAGATATATATTTGGCTATTGTGCTTAGTTTGATCTAATTGTCTTATCCAGTCCCATAGTTTTGGTTTGTATGGTTGTTTCCACAGGTGGATTGTTCAAGGCTTAAGTGTTTCTTATTCGCATTCAGCTCTTGTGGTTTTTGTAGTGGTTTTGATGTTTTTTTTGTTTTCATTAAAGTCGATTGTGTTAGTTAGTGTGTTTAGTGGGTTTGTTTGTTAGGAAAATTGTTAGAAAAGTTTTTTCTTAGAATTGACAAAGGGGGAGATTGTTAGGACCCTACTTGTTGTCAAATTTTGTGGACAAACTTGGGATTCATTGAGTTGTACTTTTCCTTTGTTTTTGATCTTCCTGCTCGAGCGGAGATTCCACCATCACAGTACTTTGGCTTGTATGCATAAAATACTGCATGGTGTGATTTTACGCTCGAGCGTGGGTTCTTACACTGGAGCGTGAACCCTGGTTTGGAACACGCATTGTAGAGTCCCCGCTCGAGAGTCCATTCCTATGCTCTAGCGGACCTCGCAATTTCAGCTTCTATAAAACCTCAAGTTGCTCCAAATCTAGGGTTACGTTTTCTAGATCGTGTTTAAGGGTTTTAGGGTTTTCTTTTGGGGATATTTTATGGTTTTCCTTGATGTTTTGATTGAGTATTGAACTCATGATCTGATAAGCATACATCAAGGAGTTTGGTTGTTCTTCTTTAAGAGTATTTTTCTTCGGTGGAATTCGAAGATTCAAGCATAGAGTAATCGAAGGAGTATGATGCTGTGTGCAGTCGTTGATTTGACAATGGATCTTGTGGATTCAATATCAATCTAATCGATTCTGAGACGAAGGTTGCGGTGAAAGCTATACCGAAGATTTGAAGACCAATTGGAAGCGTCTGGGTAATTTGTTTGGTATCTTTGTAATCTTTCTTTCTTCAGTAGTGGATTGATTTGTGGCGTTTCGCCCGTGGTTTTTTTTTTAAATCACAATTGGGGGTGCTTCAATTGTGGTTTTTCCACATGGAAATCGTTTGTGTCGATTTATTATTTTCTGAAACAACAATCTAAATCACTTTCGTACGTGCTTGATGATTTATCTTGTGAGTTTTAATTGGTTAAGAATTGGAACAATTAAATCTTGATCTAATCACGAATCACTTAGGTTTTTCAATTTCTTTTTTTGTTTTTCAAACATGCATGACTTTATCCTTAGTTTAACGGATCTTGGAAACATTTTCTTTGAAACAAATTGGTAGTTAATGGTGAATACTATATAATTTTAAGTTAAATTGACATATCTTTCCATCCAAGAGATGGTTGAAAAGTCCACCTTTTAAATTTCTTCATGCAATCCAATGTTGTTCCTTCGTTACTTTAGCTTGCACTAAAATGCAGTTGTCTACATCCACGATCTTCAATAATGATTCCTCAAACTTATAAGTCCGAGAGCAAAAGCTCTCAAGGTTTGGCAGATTTCTGAATTTGAGTTTTTTTCGTTGAGGGAACACGATTATCTTCCTTATCACTTCATCATCTGCATTTGGTTCATTTGCAATGATAGCTTCCATCCCACCATATTCAATTACCTCTATGTATTTTAGTTTCACAAGAAGTTTGGCTAAAGAGTATGAGAATAGATTTATCAAACTGCCACAACCATTTATTATTAAGGATCTTAGGTTCTGAAAGCCTTGAATTCCTGGTGAATTATCATTCCAAACATGTGTCAACTTTGGTAGACAGCTTAGTTTCACCTTTTTTTTAATGAAGGTAATGCCATATCTGATATGCCTTCCCAAACAAGTCTTTTAAGGTCAAATGCTACTCTAATAAATCGACGCCACTGTACATCAAGTAGTTCAAGATTTTGCAAACCCTTAACACTAATGAACTTCCTCTCTTTTAGTTTAGTTTGAAGTTTCCCAGGCCAAATCTCCATCAGATTCTCCATTTGAGAGATGCACAAGTTTTCAATGGTCGTCAATTTAACTTATGAGTCCATTCACGAGGTTGCAAACATAATTAAGCACAACAAACTTTATTCCATTAAACATCATCCATTAATTTAATTTGATTTTCAAATTAATATACTTCATATTTGAATAACTAAACGTAAAATAGTTCTTACAAATCTATTGCAACATATTTTTAGATTCTTGAGCTAAAAGCCCAACCCGTTTTATTAGATTCTTGAATTTACCAAATATGAATACACATTAAGTTTCTTTTTGGTATACTGGATGGTGATCAAGATGATAGGGAGTCGAATCAATCACTAGATAGTGAGGTACAAGAATTCTCATCATGATTGTAAAAATCTTGATCTAGATAGTAGAATTTTATGATTCTCTGATTTTAATTGGACCAAATAATTTGGATCACACTAGAATGTTAAAGTAACTACAATCGTAGTTATAAAATTGAGTGTAATCGTACTACAATCCCAATTTTAATAAAATCTCAATCCAACTAATTTTTTTTCTTATTTTTTATTTGTTATATATATATACACACACTAGCATTACATTCGTGCTATGCTCGACATTAAATAAATAATTAAAATTTCATCTTAGAAATTAAAGTAATAATTGATTAAAAGATGGAGATCGTAAAAGGCAATGGGAAATAGAATTTGTTCCTTAAGATTTGGACGTGTTGTTGATCGATCTTGGAGGTTGTGAGAAATCTCCATCTAAGCTTTGAGGTATTTTTTCGATGAGGCAAAGGTTTATGATTACAAATCATCTAATAATCAGAATGTTGCTTGAGGATGCTAAAATGGAATATAGCTACAACAATGAAGGTTCTCACTTGCTTCAATATGATGCTTGCCATAGTCATAGTCACCTCTTTTTTTACTTCCAACTACCCCCTTAGCCTCTTCTTTTCTATCACCGACTTCCTTCCCTATTACAACCTCTCTTCAATTTTTCTTGCTATGACTCCACAATCTCTGTACTAGGACTATTCTCCCCAAGCCTACCATTGAGAAAAAAATAAAGAGAAATAAAGTACAAGGTTTAAGGAAGAAAAATGAGAAGGAGGAAGAAGAATAGGAGGAAGGTGGTGACATAAATGGGAGAAATGGTGAGGAAGTGGTAAAAAAAAACAATTGTTGGTGGCTAAGAAGGGTTAGGAAGGAGTTGGGGATGGCAGGGAGAGTGTTGGTCTACCATTAAGAAAGAAGAAAACAAAAGCCAGGGAGTTCATCTTGGCAGAGTGACCCAGGATACCCAAATCCAAAAAAATGAGGCTCAGAGAAAGGTTGTAGAGTGGCACCAACAATTATGGTAGTGGAAAGAGGTAATAATGGTGGTGGATGATAGAGGTACTAGTGAAGGGGTGAGAATAATAACAACTAGAATTTTAAGAGTACATAAATTAAAATTTTTATTTTTTTAAGATCTAGATACTTTTTAATAATTTTAAAAAGATAAACTCTTAATAAAAAAAATATTTTTATAAATAGAACCTTCCACTTAAAATAGAAATTTATTGGATTATGCTAGTCTTCAGTGTATTATTGGAGAGTCCTATCCTGGCTGGTAAGCTCACCACTGGTCTCAATGATTCGATAATTTATATAACCTATTCATTTGATTGCATTTAGTTTATTTTAAAAATATATTTATCGTTAATTTTTCCAAGACAAATTTGATTAAATAAAGAGTTATGAATATCAAATCAACTTAATTTTTTTCATGAATATTGTATCCCTCTTCGACTTCCTTAACAACCCTATCTACGCTTTTGTGGGTGTGGGTATTCACACCGATGTCCAGAAGTTAACTGAAGATTATGGGTTGTCTGTGGGCACCACTGTTGATCTTCATTCGTTGACAGCTGAGTGTGGCATGATCGAGCTTCACAATGCGGGGTTGAAGAACTTGGCGAGAGAGGTGCTGGGAGGATTACGATGAGTAGGTAGGACAATGAGTGGCTCTACACTAAATAGGTTCAGTATGCTTGCATTGATGGTTTTTCTTTCTTTTGAGATTGGAAAGTGTTTGAATGCAGCTGGGTTTTAGATTTATTAGGAGTAATATGGGTTTGAATTTGTAATTTCTTATTTTTTGGGGTTTGATGGAGATTTGGTATGGTTTTGTTTATATTGGGATCTCTGTTTGATGGATTTGGATGATGGGTTTTGTTCGTTGGAAAAAATGGTTTTATATAGGCATATTTTTTAAACCCATTTTGGGTGGACCCCAAACAACGTTTGGGGTGGGTTCGACGAGGTGAAGTGTTCCTTACTGCATGGCAAGTCACACGGTGAATACGGAATGTCAAAACCATTTATGAGTGAATGAGAAGTTGACATCGTTTTCAGGTTTAACATTAATTTCTTAATAAAATTCTTTTGAATTTTTTCAATAAGAAATTAGTGTGGGAATTTAATTTAAATCTAAATTCAAATTTTTGGTTTCCTAAAGTTTGTCAAATAGATTAATATTTATATTCCTAACAGATTTTATTAAATTTATTATACTATTGTTTATTTATTTAAACTAGTCTAATAATTTAATAATATTTATATTCAAATAGTTTGGATTTTAGTACACCTACAACAACTTCTTCCAAATTGTTTGAAATAAAGCCGTTCCTGTATAACGGCAGAATTTGTTTGTTTTTTGAAACAAACCTGTTCACTTTTGTTTTTGCACCTGTTCGGGTTGCACATATGTGCCTATAAATACCAAATTCCAGCATGTGTTTTCAGTAGGAAAAATTTCAGTCTGAAAGTACCCTTTTTTCTTGTTGTCCAGATTATTTCTGTTTGTATTCTTTTTATTCTTCATTTTAGATTTAGAATAATTTAAAGAGAGTTAGAACACAGGTTTGGTTCGCCGAACAAATTGTTTGGAGTGCTACTACAATTTGTGAAGATCATTGTATCCTGGGAGATAGACTCCATTCAACCGTAAGCACCATAGCGGGGCGAATCTGTCTTAAGGACAGAGTGTCACACACTCGACTTGGTCTTGTAATTTTATTTGGTTCGACAAAATAAATCCAGTATGTTATTTATTTATTTTGTTTGAATTTATTTCTAGTTATTTTATTTACACAGAAGATTGTTCCAACATTGTTTACTAGTTGGAGAAGTTTATTATGAATTGCAATTTGGATGTGTTTGATGATTGATTGATATGTTCTATACTTCTATCTTGTTGGGCAAATACATGATTGTTGATGCCTGAGTTGCATTGTCCTAGCATATAAATGGTTTCTTATTTCTGTCTTTAATTAGGGAATATATTGTTTTGCTTAGTTACTACATTATTTGTATAGCAACCCATGCTATACAATATATATTGATGGTAGTGTGGATCCCAAATTTGGAGCGAGTATTTTTACTATTTTTGCACTTGTTGCCCTATTTATATATATATATGTATATATTTTTTTTATGTATATGGAGTTGAGAGCGGTGGGGGTTTGTGTCTGTATCATGTTAGAATTGCAGAGACTGTGGATAGAACTCTAGTTTTGGGGTAAATCTTGTGTTTGTGTGCATGCGTGTGATTTACAATTCTTATACATATGTTTTTCTTAGTTTTTTTTTTTTTTGGTCTCACTGATCCTGGTTAGGTGTTTGTTATGAATTCCTAACATGTGATGTGTATGAAACCTTATGGTTGTCATGGTGGATGTTGTCAAAATGATAGTATGAGAGCATAATTGAATTAGTGGCTCAAATTTAAAGGAGTGAAGAGAGGGACTAGCAGAGGGAGGGGATGTGAAGATAGTGGTGGAGCGCGATCAGTGTTGTAAAAGGTGCGCTTAGGCTCAAGGCACAGTGAGGTGCAGCTCATATGGCTCGTACATGGCGAGGCGAATGCCCATTCAATGAGCTGTAGCAAGGCACACTAGTTGCACGATTCATTGAAGATTCTGCATTTCTTGTTCCTTTTTAATATCATCTTTTGATTTTTATTTTTTTAACATATTAGACTTATATATGCTGCCACAAAGGATTGAAAATCTTCTTCTTTTTCTTCACAAATCTGGGATCTGTTTTTTTTCCTCCTCCCTTCTTTTTGATTATTTCTTTTTTTCTTCTTCCACACCTTCTGGGTTCTTTTTTTTTTTTTTTTTTTTGGGTGGGTGGCTAGGTTACTTCTTTTTCACATTGTTGCTTCTATTTTTTTTTTCTCCTCTGCTCTAATTTTTCTTATCTTCTTCTCCTTTATCTTTCTAATTTGTTGCTCCTTCTGGTCTATTTCACTTCTGAAGTCTTTCTAACTTCGTTGCTGTGTGATTATTTTTCAGATTTTTTTTTGGGAAATTTGTGTTTTGGTGAATCTTGATTATTTTGCATTTGTAATGATATGTGCTTTTATGGCTTTGGGAATTCTTCTACAATATGCCTTATTTTTTCTTTTTTTCTTTGTCTATGTTATTAATTGTGAATTCATAAGAAGCATTGACACGGACACGCGACATGACACGAATACGATACGGACATGCCGACACGTTAATTTTCAAAAAATAGAGGACACAACACATGGGGGACATGGTTGAAATATGCAATTTTATATACTTATTATATATTAAATATATGAATATATCATTCAAAGATAATAAAAAATGTAATATGACACTAATTCATATGATTTTTATTTATTATTATATCTTAATTGTTTTGTTCAAACTGTTAATTAGTTTGACATGTGTCTAATCAATAGGCACGTGTGTTTAAGCAATAGACACGTGTATCCTCCAAGTGTCTAAAGAGTGTTTGGGTCTTTAAAAAAATTTAAAAATAAGACACGTTTTGAAGAGTTTCAGACATGTGTCGGGGAAGTGTCCAAAGAGTGTCGGTATCTGACACAGACACGACACGTATACGTCACATTCTTAGAAGTGTCCATACTTCTTAGGTGAATTTTTCATTTTTGCTTACGTTGAAGTTTGAATTATTAGACTATATTAATTTTTATCTATTTTTTTTTTTTACTTAAAAGGTGCCTTGCTTCAATGAAGCGTGCACCTCGCTTTGCACCTACTCTCCAAGTGACTTTTGGCGCCTTGGTGTGCCTTGAGCCTTGAAAAATACTGAGTGCGACATCAGTAATGGTGATTAAGTAGTAGAACTAGTGGCAGAATACTAGTGTTGTGGTGCCAGGATTTTTTATGATAGGATGAGGCTTATTAATGAAATTATCGAATATTTGAATTAGGCAATGTGTTAATAATATTACCATGCCACTCATTGATTGATTACTAGGAATTGATGATGACGTCTTTTGGAGTAGGGTTTATCTAAAAACTTGTTTGGCTAGAGAGAGTTTATTACGAAATGGAAGTTAGAAATCCAATAGGATTACTTGTAGTAGGCAGACCATGGGTGGCTTAGTAAGCCCTACTTGGATACAAAGTGTTTCATTGATGTTTTTATTTGTTTCCAAATTGAGAGTTTAAATGCAGGGAATTGAAGTAATGAGTTTATTGTAGCATTGGACACCTCCCTAAACCTGTTGAAAAAGACCAAAGCCACGTCCCTCATAGGACCACCATATCCAACTACAAGGGATATTATGAAAACAGAATCATCGTAAGGAAACCTGAAGCCATAATGGTGTAGCTAGATTGCTTGTTTTGGAATTTAATGGAAAAGATGAACAAGTTTTGAGGAAATCAGTGGACCTTGAAGAAAATGATAATCACTTCCTCATTGGTGATGTCGGGGACCTTCTAAACTCAGATTTTGTTTGGAAGAATATTGATAGAGTAGGGTAAAGTATAGGAACAGATAGATTCCTTATTTGTTGGCATATGTGCATGTGAACTAGCTAAGAAAATTAGTACCAAAAATAAGATAAGTAAAGAAAAACATAAAAAAAAATTATAAACTAAACCATATGCCCACTTGATTAAAGAATATTTAGATCAAGCAAAAAATGGAGCAAGAGTTTGATATTAATATTTTCTTTTTCGTTTTTAGTCGTTGTGTGAAGAAACAAAAAGGAACAAGCTCACACATTTTTTTGTGTGCAAATAAGTTCTCTGTAAAAAATTTTCAAAAAAAGTTCTCTATAACATAAGAATTTTTGTAAGACTGTGTTTGATTCATGAATTTAAGTAGAGATTTAGAAAGAAAAGAGAAAAAGTGTGTGAAATGAAGTATATTTCATTCACATTTCACATATTTTTTTTACTTTCTCTTTCAAATTCTTACCTAAATTCATGAACCAAACATAGTTTAAAGTTGATTATATCACTACAGGAAATTACACTATTGGTGACTAAAAAAAATTTAGTCGCCAAAAGTTGTGGAATTGGCAACCAAAAATTATATTAGTCGCAAAAGTACAAGATTTAGCTATTAATTTTTTTTAGTCGGGGCATATTGATTATTGGTCGCCAAAAATTTATTTGCCGAAAATTTATTTTCAACGACTAAATAAATTTTAGTCGTCATATACTAACTTTTGCCGACTAAAAGAAATTTAGTCGCCTAATATCTAGTGTAATTTTATTTTTAATCTTTGGTGACTACCTCATTTGGTCGGCAAATATACATTTTTGGTGACCAAAACATATTTAGTCGGCAAATTTAGCTACTAAAAAAAATTTAAGCTTCGTTTGATATTGGCTACGGTAGCCAACTTTTTTGTGTTGAGACTTTTTTAGCCT